CAAATTTGAATCCCCCTCAGAATAGCATAGCATAGGTACATAGAATCTCAAAACAAAAATACGAGTTGACTTTGTGATAGGATGAGCAGATCCCTATGACTTGCCAAGTTGTAAACAAGTTGTTATAGTAAGGGATATGGTTCATATGATAACTAGATGGTTGGATGAAATTTAGTAAGAACTACAACATCCCAAATGTTATATGTCATAACAGCACCCACGTCAAACTCCTCGTAACATCGTAAAACTCCTCATAACATCGCAGGATTTCGAAATGGTATAACCGAAAGATGAAACTCTCTTTTAAGAAGCAAGTCGAACGAATGCAAAGAGTAACCACTTTGCTGCCAATTGAGACCTAAACGAGCTATACATTGATAATAAACAGTCTGTATTAATGAATGCATTTAAAGTGGTTATATACCATGAGGCTTAAAAATTAGTTCATGATAAAGTAAATATAATTTTTACTAAAATGTTCATAACATCATTACTCTTTATAATTTATTACATCCATCAAAATATCTTGCAAAACATATGGACAAAATTTGCTAGCATACAGCAACGTGTATGACAAGTTTCTAAAAACAGGGGCTCAAAACAAGACTACTAAAATGTTTTCTAGTGGCATACAAACTGTTTATTTCATATGGCTAAAATTCTGCCAACTAAGGTTAAAAATCTTAATATAAATATTAAATAGCCAATTTTAATAAAGTCAATTAAACTTATTGTTTCATAATTTGATCAAATTTCAGAATTTTTTTTTGAGGAATCATATCTGAACAAATCTAATAATATGATCTTTATAAATGACCTCCCTCCGGCCCAAATGGTCAATTCAGGCTGCTGTTCCACTATGTAATCCCCCAAATAGCTCATGTAATTCTTTTGCAAAAAAAAATTCAATTCGTTTTTACACAATTTTTAATTTTCCTTACATATATAACATTTCTTTATAAATGAACCTTATCACTTGTTTAATTGAGCCCTCTCTTTATACTCTTGTATTCCTCCCTTTTTTGTTAAATAGAGGACAAAATGGGTGACAATGGTGATTCTGTTGCCAGGGGAGCCAATAAATCAGCTAAAACAACTCAACCCAGACCAGCTAAATTATAACTAAATAGACTTATGATTCATAGAAAACTTGTTTTTCTCAAATGAAATGTGTTATTTAGTGATTTATTTCGGATACGTCTGAAAACCCCTGGACTCTGTCAGAATCAAAAATGATTGAGGAGTTCATCTTCTTCCATGAAATATAGGAGATCTTCCCATTCTCCAAATGCCTCCATTTCTCCTGTCCTGCCTTACTTTTTAACAGACACTAAGATAAATTGGGGAAATGAGAGTTAAATGGAGGCTGAGGGAGACCAGAGTTGTATAAACGACTATGTAAGAACAGCTAAAGTAAAATACAATATAAGCATGTTTAAAGCGCCAGTATGCCAAGATTATCTCGCACTAAATGTAAGAACAGAGTCATTTGAATCTCCACAATTGATCATTAAGACCATGCAAAATAGAGGCATTTTTACTGGTCACTACCTAATTATGATAGTTATAGTCTTGCATCCAATTCACTTTTTTGTAAAGGTAAGATGTGTTGGATTAGGGGGTTAGAAGCCAAGTCTTGAAACAAGACTATCATACAGAAAACCTAACCTCGCTTCTTGTTTATTGTATTTTGCATAAAAAAAACTGCCACCAATGTCTCTAACTTTGGCAGTCTATGTTTTGTATATTTGAATGTATTAACAGGAAAAAAGAAGAAAAAAGACTATCATGATTACTCTATGATTTGTAACATAAACTTACAAGAAGCGCCTGTAATAATATTTATGGATGCAGACCATCTCATAGTTGATATAACCAATTAACAAATAAATGGTCAAGGCCACAAAAAAATATATTTTAGTGTTGGCCCAATTATGAATAAATGGGGACAAATGAAAAACACTTTGAAAAAACAAATGAAAATTCTTTTTTTTAAATGAATGAAAAAATAAAAATAGCAAAATATCGAGCCTTCAGGCACTTTGCACTGAAAATGGTGCTATCCCAGGGCTATTATCCGTAAGTCCTCCATATACTTCAGATTTTCAGATTATAGGCACTAAAAACAGTCTACCAATTTCTTTCTGAACAGTTTGTACTTAAAGTTCTCTGTGAATATCCTTAACAACAAAGATAGCCAACATACTCCTTGAGGAAACGAATCAACTATTCTTCAACTTTTGATCAATAACCCCATTTAGGATGAATATACCAGGTTAAAAATACCATTTGTTTTTTAAGCGTTTATGATTTTTTTCTGAATCGTATGATATTATTAGTATTTCATTTCATCTTTATATAATTCAATACATATAATATATCTCTGTTAATTTCATTTTTTGAGAATCCCTTGGTATTTCTCACTATTTCACATTTTAATTTTTACACCCATGATCCTTTTTGTCAGGGTACAGTGCTTGGTACCATTGTCTGGACTTCTTCAAATCCTTTTCAAGCTAAAAATAAACCTGAATTTATTTATATATTTTGATCTAGATCCTTAAATATAAAAAATTTGAAGTGCAATAAAAAATCAGGCCTAATAATAAATAAATGATACGACATACCAAGCAAAACCAATGAATCATATAGAACAATGAAGAATTTATCAATGAAAATAAACTATTTAGTATAAGTGACCAATTGAATTTGTATTTATTTCTACTTGTGTAATAGGGACTGATTACAGGGTTTCTAAGTAATGAAATGAAATACAAATCATATTGCTAAAAATCAATTTACTCAATTGTGTTAATTTCCTCTCCCAGGGTAGCTACTTACCCGTTAAGATTTTACTTCTTAAAAGTGAACTTCATTTGTAAGTGTTGAAGAAGAGATAATTATATGATCTGGTCTCATCCAATCAGATTATACTGATCAAAATTTAGCAACCCAATCAAAATGCAGTCACATAATGCCTTCATAAGTAGGTTGCATGTATTTTATGTTTAAATTCCCTTGATAGGCCCCGCGAGCTACATTTGGGGTCATAGGAGAGTGGTGTGATTGGTTTGAACAGATCGTCAAAGAAATCTAAAAGATCTAAAGAGAACTTTAAATGAAATCTTATTTATTCCAGCAAAGGGTAAGGCATATAAAATAGTATAAATAGAACTGAGTCTATGTTTTAGGTGCATTTGTTAAAGACGCTGACCGCCAAATGCTGACCCCCATCCACAAAACAAGTTGAGACCATAACACTATGTCTCAACTTGAATAGCCCACCACAGTGAGCTAAAAATAAACATATTAAAGTCAAAATATACAGTGAGCTAAAAATAAACATATTAAAGTACTGAAACTGCAAAAACATAATTTTGTAAACAAATTTGACAGTCAATTTGATAATTGAATTATAAGTGATGTTTAGTTCAACTTTGACGCACTAAGCTTATATAAAATTAGGATCCAGGCACTGATGCCCCTGTTTCCGGGTATTGAGACATAATGTTGCCTTGGTGCCAATGAATAAAAATTCTACAAATCTCATCAATTTCTCTCTAAATAAAATAACATAAATCAGCTCAAAATGACTTCAGTTCAGGCCTAAATCGCTTGAAATTGCTGAAAATGGTGAAAAACTGCATGATTTCAAAATAATTTTTGGCCCCTTATCCTCCTCTCCTGGCTATAGACTTGAAATGGTATATATAGTAAAACCTGGCTAAGAGAAATATCATTGGTACCTCTAATCAAAAAGTGTTCAGCTCCTTAACTTGATATCTCTATCATGTGTGTAAATTTGGAAAAAATCCTATGAGTGGTTTTCCTGAAATGGTCATGACAAGATTTTCTGAAAAACCTTCAAAATGGCCACCAGAAAACAAGGTGGCCACCCAAAAGTTAACCAGTGTCCAGCTCTAGAACTTGATATCCTCTATCATGTGTGAGAACTTTGGGAGAAAATCCGATGAGTGGTTTTCCTGAAATTGCGATGACAAAAAAAGCGGGATGATAACGATCATGACCACGATCACGGCGACTATATCCCACCGAAGGATGGATAAAAATGCTACATAAATAACATCCAAAATCCAAAATCCATTGACTTTCAGGGTAAAATATGGATCATATAAAATTGCCCACATGATACATATATCATATGTCTTTCTTTCAGGAGACAGATCTTACTTATTATGTACATATATTGTACTCATCTTTATGACTGTAAATGATTAATGTCTCACAAAAACCTAAAAACCTATTTAGAAAGAGGGGGCTCAACACTAAGAATATTTATTAGGGTAAAGTAACATATACTTCAGAATGAAGTCACCTATATATGGACACTAGAATGAAAGATAGGTACAGTCTGGGATATGTTTATGCAACAAGTACAAAACATAAATTGAAAAAGCAAGTCTGTTCCCACATTCCATCCATCTTCATAATCATGTTCGAAAAAATGCATTCAGAATGTCAATCTCAATATCCAAATCTCTCTCAAAATTTTGTGTCTGATTTGATTTTCCTTTATTTTGATAAAAAATCGCACCTTTTACCTCACTCTCCAGTCTCCATACCCTTCTCTTATTTCCACCCAATTTTGCAATCTTAAAGCATGAACAAATTGACATTTTATCCAACAGCAGCTATTAACTTCAGTCTGGCCAATCTGACCCGATCTCTATAATCAAAACGATTTCCTCGACCAATCAATATCCTGACGCCTAACTAATCCTGCCCAATCCCCACATGCTATAACTCCTATAAACAAAATTGCATTTCGACAATGCTACTCCTATTGGTTGCATTAATGTAATATTTCAGTCCATTTAAAATTTGTTAAGTTTGATACTGGCTGAACTCAGCCTATTAACTATCTCTTTTAATTTACTCCAATTTCCTGTCAAAAATTTTCTTACTTATATGCAAAATAAGCCCCCCCCCCTCACTCCTAATATTTCACTGACAAGTACATAGGTATTAATAATACTTACGTCGGGGAGCTTCTTCCGTAACGGATTCGAGGAAATCCTGGGGAGTCATGTAAACATTTCCCTTGTAATCTAGGGAGGCAAAAGCTAAAAATCGTCTCTCACGATGGCTTAACAGTGGACGCCTAGTTTCTTCATCGTCTTCTTTTTCCTGAAAGAATAAAATAAAAATATTCATATAATTATTGTTTTTTTAAAACAAATAGCAATTAGTGATAATGAGTCCCAAATCCCAAGATAATATTGAATATGTACAATTTGTATCAAAAATGTGTGTGTATGAAACATCCTGTACTTCTGAATTAGCATACTTTTGAATTAGAACATAATCCTGGCATATTAGGCATAATTAGGACATATTCCTGAAATATACTTTTGAATTAACACATATTCCTGGCATAAACTTTTTTGCATATATTCTTGGCATAAACTTTTGAATATTAACACATATACACATACAGTGGTATATACTTTTGAATTAACACATATTCCTGGCATATGCTTTTGAATTACCACATATTCCTGGCATATGCTTTTGAACTACCACATATTCCTGGCATAAACTTTTGAATTACCACATATTTCTGGCATATGCTTTTGAATTACCACATATTCCTGGCATAAACTTTTGAATTACCACATATTCCTGGCATATGCTTTTGAATTACCACATATTCCTGGCATAAACTTTTGAATTACCACATATTCCTGGTATATGCTTTTGAATTACCACATATTCCTGGCATATGCTTTTGAATTACCACATACTCAAGTGTTATGTAAAGGTTATTGTGACAGGTATATTGAAGTTCAGGAATGACAAATTAACCTCTTACTGGAATCTAATTTTTTATCACCTTGCTTTATAAATAAAAATAGATTATTTATTTTATGTAACAAGGCTCACGAGAACAGATATACAAATCACACGGAGCCTGCCTTTCCCTCGAAAACATATGAAAACTGAACAACTGATCTTTTTCCTAACGATAAAGTTGAAATAAAGTAATTCTACCCAATATATCTTGACTAATTTATATCCTCTTTTTGAATTCTACTGAATGTGAAAGTGCATCAACAACTGACCAAGAAATTTTATTTATTCATGCTTAGGGGAAAATGTATTTCCAAAATTCTCACAGTGACCTTGACATCTCCATGTCCTCGTTGCTACCTTGGAAACAGATTTCACATTTTAACACTCATTTCAGATTTGAATATAAGTTTCTTATATATTAATGCTTTTATCACTTAATTCATTCTGCCTGCTATTCTTTTACTTAATATATGGGACTTTTTGAAATGATAAGTCAAGTCCAGCCATTAGAGGCATGACCTTGACCCTCTAAAATTGGCATATATCATCACAAATAAAAAGTTCATATTTTGTATAAATGCTTATTTATTGGGTTGTGCTTTGTTTCAATAATGTTGCCATGTATGCTGATGAGTTAAAGCATTGCCTCACAGAAAAGCCTTCCAATTTGATAAGTTGAAACATAAAACGCTTCAAGAAGAAACAATGACGTGAATAGATAAGATACCTCATAAAATGAAGGTAATCGCAAATACTTAATAAAAAACAATACATATCAGTAGTCGTGAACATACGTAGGTTATTGGCTGAGGTCCATAACAGGGTGAGATGATGGTGGAAATATGACGTTAAACATAATAAAATAGAAGAATCTTTGAAACATATACTATTGTGGTTTTTTGACCCCTTGCTGTCTTCTCTTTCATAAATCCATATAATTTTTCAATAAAATTAAAATGAACACATTTTCTTGAATTCCTGTCTAATTAACTGAGTGAATTAATGTTTGTATAGTTTATTTCATAATTTTTTAACTAATTTCTATTCCATTACGCAGTTGAAAACATACCTTCCATGGTATTTCTTTTCAGGGGTATACTCAGCATGCAAAGACTAAATATGACATAAGCGCCGAAATTTGATGATATCAGCATTTAACTTAAGACATTTAGACATCATCTCACATAGAAATAAACAGCCTATATCATGGATACACACGTTGCAATATAAAATCTTGATTATAGGTATTCTTAACACTTTTGGACTCCTTTCAGGATCTCCAATAAAATGAACAAATTACACTTTCACTGGGAAAGTGTAATTTCTGTTTATATACAGGGTGACACAAAAAACATGATAGCCTATAACTTTGAAATACCTTTCTCCACTATATTATGTCATTCTATACTTATTTCAGTTCTTGATGCACATTTGAAACATTTTAGCCCAAAGTGGGTTTATATATATCTTTTATTGACTTTTAAACATGTCAGTCTCTCAGACATATGGGTCACATGACCATAATTCATAACTTGCAAAAGATTCAGATCATCAGTCAACAAAAATATGAACATAAAACTGAATAAAATCATGAAATTTAAAACCCAATACCTGAATAATCATATTGCAAACAATCAGGCCTCACAAACAGAAACCTTGTTACCAGAAAACATAATGGTAAAATCTGAAGAAACCAAATACACAAAAATCTCAAAACCATAGCAACCAATAATGACCTGAAGTACCCTGACATACATGTATTGTGAATTGTGACAAAAGGATGGGGAAGTATTACCAACTTTAATACTACATCCAACATATTAGTATCATTGATAGTCATGTTATTACATATTATAACCCATTATAGAAAAAGTTATTGCAGATCAATTTCAAAATCCTCTTAGTGGCTGTTTGAAATTTTGTATTTTTCAGCTTAAGGCTGATTCTAACATCATGATTTCCGTTTGAACAAATGAGATTAAACATCAGCTAAGTGCAACTATCCACATTTTTAATTTCTGAATATTGGTATATTTTTTTAATTTCTTCTTCAATATGTATCGTAATAACTTCAATATGATTTAAATGTCCTATGATCTGGTGATTTTGAATTGTGATAACTAGTTTCTAGATGGTTGGAAGGAGGGGACATTAAATTGCTTTCTTCTGAGTGATTGTACTTTTCCATGCCACCTTTTCCGAAGTATGTTTTAATATGCTTTTATTCCTTCATATTTGGTATACAGTATAAGGTAAACTGATAGAGTTTGGAAAACACATTGGTGGTGTTAGGCAAAGTATTGGTGACTCACTTTCACTAATTTACACTTACATACCCTTTTATTAAGCATTATATATACAGTACCCCCATTAATTGCAAAAGAATTTGTTAATCCTAAATACACATGATACATCAAGTAAAACAAATGGCTGCATAAACGGTAATCCTTAGAATTCACTGTCTACCTTTATACCCCTATACCAACATTCAGCCGTCAAATGTTTGACCAGACCTGAATCTAACAAATCAAAACCAATAAAAACTTTTGAAGTAAGAGATTTTAACATTAAAAAGTGACAATACGATAATGCATTGATAATTCTTGCGTAAACGTTAAAAGATCGTGTAAGATATGATAGGAGATGAATACTGAGCTGAAATAATCCATCGCCAACCTGCCCCTTGTACAAATTGGTACAACAGGCCGGGAGCTACCGAAAAGACCTGGGCAATTATCTCAGGATCATTAAACAGCTCAAACATCTTAGCAATAAAGCTATAGATAAACATCGAAATTTATCAAATATTGTTTTATAGTAATGAAACTTGTGATTCCCACGAAGATGATATCGAATCAAAATTCGAGACAAAAAAGTTAATTTTTGCAAATAAAGAACTCAAATAACAACTTGGGAGGCTATACAAAGTAAAGTCAGAGTGTTCTGATATGTAGGTTGGCAGGGGCAAATATAGATTAAGACATTGCCACATTATTAGACTGTAGCAGTAGTTGTTTATTAATTCAATATATTTATTGCCTATTCTATGACTTGTTGGTGCTAATTAATATTCCTGTCAAATTCTGTTTAACCTAAATGCTTGTGTGTAGGTTTTTGTTGTTGCTTGTAGTTTTAGTTTCAGTAGAAATGTTCTTCATATTCTTAAGAAATGTGACTGGCAATACCCAAATGATTCTTTGCTGAGTTTCTCAATTCTTTTTCTGTTAGAAATTTTCCGAAATATTCTCTTCTATTTCGTTTCAATTTATTTTTTCAGGTGTTCACAACAACTTAAAGAATGTAGATCTATTTTTAGCTATTTTTCCAATTTTAGTCATTTTAACCTCTTGAATCCCAGACTCTTAAATAAGTTTGAAACTAGAGAATTTTTCATTTTTGCCAGCTTTTGACATTTTACTACATATGATACAATATATACAATATGTAGAATACATGATGCTCAACTTAATGAAACACTAGTTGAAACTAGAGATCATTTCTACATGTTTTAAAACATCTTGTCGCTCTAGATTTCAAGATTCTTTTTTTAGGTGTCACTCTGGATAGTCAATAGGTTAAGAAATGACTCAAAAGTTCAGAACACAACAAATTAAGTAGTTCTTCATATTAAATATACAAATTCACCATAAATATGAAATATACAATTTGTCTATTTTCTCACTGTCCCCATTTTTCCAAAGACAATATTGATATTGCCAGACATAAATAAACACATATTCTGTGCAACTATGTTCCCACATACATCAGGTACTAAATCATGAACACTTGTTTACTGTAGGTTACATATAGCTGTTTTCATCTAGTATTAAAAACTACTCTGGAAAATATTCATTATTATCAACTGCTTTATCAATTCAATGGAGTTGATAGAATTCTTCACTTGGCCTTGTTAGTCTGATTGTTATCTGTTTGTTTTTTCAATTGATATAAAATGTAGAACAATGAGATAGAAGTTTAGTGCAGTATTTCAACAGTTAATGATCATTATTGGGACCTCTTGATGATGGTTACCCTGGTGATCTTTCACCATCAGGAATGAACCTTGATACCAGCGAGGGCCTAGATAACCTTATACATCAGTCTAGAGCACTCAACCTGTTAGATTTCACAGCTTTCCTGATTACAATATTCTTGCAGATTATGTATAAAATGTCTGACTTCGTGCATACTTTACATCATATTTACATCATATTTCTGCATAATTTAAACTTATCATCTGAATCATACAGTTCAATTTTGACAACATGAATGTCCTCTCTTCATAATTTTGTTTATTCATAGGACTGGTTACAATTCTGTTAGAATTATCATTT